AATAAAATAATTATACCTATTAATTCAATTTAAAAAGTGACGTATATAATTCATATATAAAGAATTTTTAATCTAATTACTAATTTTTAAAATTATTAATTAAAATATGATTTTTTTTAAATGTCTTCTAATGAGGACATATTGCAGAACACTTTTTATAAAATATATATGAAAAACTAATAATTAAATTAAACATTTTACTCATAATTATGTATATCGGTTCATGTAGGGTAAATTTGTAAAATTGAATAAAATTGTGCCATTTTACCAAATTTAAAGATTTTATTAACTTTTATTTAGATTATTTAACAACTTACCCGTCGGTACTTTGGGGGTTCAACATACGCCACAGCTCAATACACGTCATTGCCTAACCTCTATTTTGTTTTTTTTTGTTTTTTTTTTGGTTTCTATTTACTATGGTTTTTCGTTTTAATTTTTAAATTTTAAATAATTAATATTAATAATTCATGAAAAGCAAAATTAAAAATCAAAATTAACAATCTTTTTGTTTGATAAAAAAATTGATAACATTTTAGATATAATTTTTTGAAACTAATATCTAAAGTCTCAAACTTGATTAATTTATAAAATTTCTTAATTTTATTCTAAAATTTCTAAACTTTTGAAAATTAAAAAAAAAATTAAATCACAATCATATTAAACAAAGTTTTAGTTGCTAAGGAAAAAATTTAAAGTTTTATTAATTTTTTCAATAAACTAACAAAAATTAGTTGTCAAAAATATTATGTTTTCTTAATTTTATCAAAAATGAGAATTCTTTATTTTTTTTAATTTAGTTTAAATTTAAAGGATAGAAGTTAACAATTGCATTTACTTTTTATTTTAAAATAAAATCTTTAATATAATAAGTTACTTATGTATAAATATCTATTCAAAATTTGTATTTTTTAACCTTGTAAGGGTAAAATTTACAATAGATTAGTGTTTATTAGTTGGAGTTTCACCAAATTAGAAGGAAAAACATTTTAAAACCATATCATCAATAAAATATTATGAAAATGGATTTAATAGTTTCATTATGATAGTAAATATACATTTTTTATTGTCAATAAATATATGTTATTTTAATCTTTTTTAATAAAAATTATTTTTTTGATATATCATAGAGTTAATTACTTAATATTATGAATATTTAAATCTCTAATCTTAATTTCAAATTAAAATTTTTAAGTTAAAAGTACCAACTCAATAAAACTCTTATTGATTCAATAAAAAATTATTAAAAATAATATAATTTTAATTATTTTTCTCTTAATTTTTAAAAGTTTAATGGACATATGCTTTTCTCAATTTATAATTATCAGTACTAATTTTAATGTGGGAATATATTCAAAATTAGGATTCACAATTCAAAATCCTTCAATTATCTCTTCTTTTTGGGGGAAGGGGAGTGGGCAAAAACTCACTTTGAGCCCCTCATCTTATTAAATTTGAAGGTTTTAGGCCCTCACTTTATATGATGATATTTTTAACCCCTCACTTTACTAGATTTGTAAGTTTTAGCTCATCACTTATTAAAATTGAAAAAAATAGCTCTCAGTTGAGACTAACTGTTAATTTTGTTAACTGAAAGCATATTTTTATCAATTAATAGTCAACTAATAATTAATTAACAGAATTAACAAAATATTATAAAATTAGTTCTATTAACTCTATTAATTAAAAGAAAGTTTTTAATATTAACAATTAACTAATAGTTAACTAATAGAGTTAACAGTCAGTTAATAAAACTAA